ATAAAAATAAAAATTATGTTTTTTGTAAAAATAATTATATATATTCAATATAAAATACTGGACAAGTAATACATTGCTCGGAAATTTGATCCTTTCCGGGAAATTTGAATCTCAAGTAGAATTATTAATAATACTTGTTATTATAACTGAACAATATTTTACTAATAATTAATCATACTTCTATTATAACATTTTTTACTCATTATTTATATTCTTCTATTTTATATCTAATGTTTTACTATATCAGATTGATAAAAGTAATATAGCTTTATCTATATAAGCAGACAACGATATATGAACAATAATTGATAATTGGGATTAACTATTAAAGTTTTCGTGATTTTCAATAAACTTTGTATTTTGTAATTATTTATTTATATTCCAGGTTCAAATTGCCCGGGCAATGTATACGTTGCCTAGTATTCCATATTGCCCGTAACATATATTATATATGTTATACCTTTTGCTTTGTCTACAGAATATGTCTATTTAAAGTTTAAAATGTACATATGGTACTTCCGAGTATTTTTTATTCCTCGTTTTACTTGTCACATAAAACAATTATCTTGATTAAAAGTATCTCAGATTTATCTCAGATGACTATTTTATATAAAAAGATAGCTAAAAAAGTATTTAAAATGATTTTTATCTAGATAATATAAAAAGATAAATATTTTTATTTAAATAAATAATCTATATAATGCACAATATAATATACAAAAAATTGACAGAATATATAAATCAAAAAATATATAATCTCAAATTCAACACGTCCCTACAAATCATTATGTATCCAATATGACTTTATCTGGTCCATCATAAACCAAAATAACAGCCGCCAAACCATTTCCTAATGATTCTGATTAAATATCAAACATTTTGAAGAAATTCAAAACTTAATTGAATAATTTTATATTTCTACTCACCGTCCTTTTAAACAAACTTCCTATAATAATCAGTAACTTCAATAACAAATATTTTATCCATAAACCTGATAAAAATTATCATTATCTATATAAAATTCCTTCATATTGTATTGTCAGGGCCATACGTAAATGTACGCCCTTACGATTACCATTATATGGGGGGATCACATTAAGTATTATAATAACCCTTATTATAATCAATATATATATATATAGGCACCAGTAATACAATTACTAAAGTAATACGCAAAAAAAATCATAGATTAATTTGTAAGACATGTGAAAGGTAATTTTGCGAAAAGGCAAAAATCGTAATGACAACCACTCAGTAATGATGGATAGTCAAGGGTTGAGCACACAATAATAATTAAAACACAAGTTACAAATATGGAATCATATATTACTAGTCATATTCTGAAGTATGGCAATGATGAGAAAACAACGATTGGGGTATATAAGGGGGTTAAGAACAGACCTATAATCATGTATGTTTTAATCCGGTTAAATTGAACACCTTCACGCCAGTATATTTTATGAAATATTTCTTCTCAAATATTTTTGAATTATTCTGGACTTAGAATTATTTAACAAATAAAAATGTTTTAACTTGAAATATTTAAAATAAAATGTATTTGATTTAAAGTTGAGTTTATATTTTGATAATCCTATTCCATTTTACAACTTCTATTCTGTTGAACTGACGGCACAGAACACAAATTGGTGCAGTCGGTAGGTTAGAAGTTGTAAGTTGGAATAGGATTATTAACATATAAACTAAACTTTAAATTAAATACTGTTTATTTTAAATATTAAAAGTTAAAAACATTTTTATTTGTAAAATAATTCAATCAAAAATATTCAAATAAAATTGAACTTATATATTCACGTCACATCAGTGTATTAACATAATAATTATTATCATTTATTAACTTATTAAGTAACTTATTTATTGAATAATATTGCTTTGATAACTATAAATTATGAATGTATAGTATATTATTATAAAATATCACAAGAATCCTGTTGTTGATAGACAAAATAACTTATCTTAAGTACCTTAAATGAAACTCGAAACAGAATTTAAATATTTTGTGATAAGTAAAATATTATGATATTAAATTTTCAAGTGTAATTCATTTTAAATTGTATACCTGAAGCAAGAATATAAAAGATCTAAAAAAGTATCTTGCAAAGTCTGGTTGCAAGAATATTATTTATGAAATAAGTACACGATGGGTGGTTCGTAATAAAACGCCATGACGCCGAAATATTAACCTAACATTAAGTAGAACAATAATAAATTATAATATACAGATATATGAATAACTCAATGTTCAAAATATTCACTATAATATTTTAGTTTTATGCTTCAGTGTATATCATATAAAAATTACTTGAAAAAAAAAAATATGTATAAATGTAGTACAAATACCTTCGCGTAAATATATCAAATAATGTTGTCTGGATAACAAAATCCTTACGATTTCTTAAATTGAATTCCATTTTAAGAATACATAGTTTTTTTTTGATAAATAGCATAGTAAAAACTATTTATTTATTTGTATTTTTTTTTCTTCTGATTTTCAATTTTTTTCAACGAACAATTTTTATTATAAAAATAATATTCTTCAAAAATAGATAAAAATACCATAGTGAGAATAAACATATTTGAATACAAAAATATTCTAACATGGTACATGAAACAATATAATCAAATGTACATTATTGTGAATGTATTCTAAAATTAAATAACCCTATATTGTCTCTATTCAATATCAATAAATTTATAATTTTTGTCATACTATGAAAATAATTAATAAAAAGGTAACAAATCACTATTTTAATATATGCTCATACAATATTCTTGTAAAAAAACACATTTTCACTACAAATTACAAATATATGACAGTATTAAATGCTAAATCTATGTTTAAAAGTTTACAAGTTTAAATAATCTATAGTTATATTGAAGACATAGAATTAATGGTTTTGTATTTTGTAATTTACGATCTGAACTTTAATGATTTTTGTTCACATTTAGTTCTAACAACGAGAGCAATTAAAAATGGGTTTTATAACATTACTGAAGCGTATTACACATTAATGAATGAACAAAAAGACATAATTAAACTGTCGAAATAAAAGGTTCTTTTACTATTTTAATCTCCGAAAAACAGCAATACACATACATATTTATACGCATTTGGAATGTTATTTTAATTCATAGATAAACGAAATACTCAAATATTTACATTGTAGATTCCTAACGGAAGGAGGGTTATGTTATTATGTGTAATTTTTATATAACTAAGTCTAAAACGAAGGCTTCAACAACTTAACTTTTTTTATTAATAGACAAAGTAAAATTAGAATATGTCATGTAGTAAAGATTTTAGAAAATAAATATTCAGCATTTAATATAGTTTAATACGAGATTAGAGTTTTGTAGTAGTACTATATCTACTGCTACTTCAATTAAATAATGTATCAAATATAGATTTAGTCTAATCCCTTAACACAATAGTTTCCAAAATAATCGTTAATCGGCTGCAATTGATATACAAGTAGTAATAATATATTTTATCTATTTTTAAAAAAAAATAAATTACCATTGGTAACACTTGGTAAAAAATAAAATCAATGATTTTAACAAGTTATAACAAACTTTAATATTAAATAAAGCTCTTCTAAGTAACTCTTTAATAACTATAAGAACGGTGGAGCTTAATGTAAATATACTATACACAATATTAGTTTGTTTTTGTGATTTGTCTTTCCAATTCAAATAATAATAAATTTGAATATCTACTTCAACATCCAGTTATTATATAATTTATCACTATACAATCGTAACATAATTTTCCACTATTTACAATTAAAATATAATTTTTGAAATTTGATATTCTTATTTTACCTACTTGGATATTTTTGGTATTCTTTTTTTTTTATAAAAAATTCTAAGAATCGTGCATAAACTTCTTCATATATTTGTTTATTTAAATTATAATTTAAAAATCTTCTAAATTATTGCTTTTAATGCTAATAAAAAAATATGGAAATATTTTTATGAATGAATTTTTAAATAACTAATTTATCTTTATTCTTGAAACTACACGATACACAAATTACCATTTTCTGTAGTTAATTTTTTTAAGTAATCGTATTAGTTTTGAACGAAAAAATTATTTCGAAAAATAAATTTAAATATTATTAGGCATATACACGTATATTTACATAACATTTATAAATAGTTTTATAATTTTTTTTTTCATAAGCTTACTAAATATATGATATGTACATAATACTTAATCATTTTGAAAATTCATTTTAATTCGATTGTACTCTTCAGCATTATATTTAAAAGAAAAACCATTGAGATATATCTAATATCTTATTAATATTATTACTGCATTAACGTCAGTGTAAAATCAAAATTACATTGCGCTTGATACTAGGAAATGCAAATTTCTTAACTTTGTATTATTCAACATGTTTCACATTTTGTTATAAATTATTTAAAACGTATCTATTGTATACCAAGAAAATATAATATAATGAAGAATCATAAACTTGTTAACAATGTTGACTTTGAATTTCAAAAACTTCCGTTCATGATGTTTACAAACATAAATTACTACTTAAATGAGGATGGATAATTTATTCTTGGTAATGATCAAGCAGTATACAATATAAACGAACTAATGGAGTGTCATTTATTACATTTTATAATTATCTATACCTAATCATGAATTACGTAGTTCAGTCATGGCATGTTATAATACAATATTTGTGTTTTTTTGTAAATATTAAGTATTAATTTTGTTAATTAATAAAAAATTAAATTTGAAATTAAAATATCTTTTTTATCACTCGTTACATTTTTAGCCGAGCAAATAACCTAGATTGGTTTCACGATTACATATTAATCGAGTAGAATAGATAATATGCTTTAAATATATACATAAGCTAAACGATTGAACACCAATGCCGAAGAGGTAATTGTTTTGGTAAATTACACAAATATTGTGATCGAGACGCGCGTGAAGAAAACATAAAACACAACGATAAACTCACCTTGTCCACCCTTTGCACCGAAGGAAGCCAAAGAATGGGCACTTTGTAGTTGGTCGCCGTGAGGGCAGGTATCAGGCCCACGGGTTCGGGAATTAAAAGCAGGCACGCGACGATCGTCTTGTTTGCCCATAGATCGAGTACAGCCTCCAGGGCACCCATGCTGAACCGGTTGGCCGGTAACTCAGCGTAGAGCACTCGCACTGACGGCGGCATTGCTCTGTCCATTGTCCTGGACAGTAACGATCCCTGATCATGGCCGTGAATCACCGAAACGTACACAGGATTGCTGCACACGAAACAAACGGTTATCACAATTTTTTTTTCTAATATTTTGCAGGGTAAGTGAAAAATTAAACATAGTAAAAATAAAATATAAACTAATTTTTCGACATACAACACATACCTGAATGATAAAACAAGTGGAGATACTGCCAGTACTGTCAGAGTTGCAAACGTCAATTTCATTTTCCTGTCAACACAAACAAATTCACACTATATTGTCTATGAGCTTGTTTATGTTATTTGTTACTATTACTATTATCATTATTGGTATTATGATTACCAAAGATTATTTTATATTCCATATAGAAAATATGCTGATGAATTATTAAAAAAATTAAAAGTTTTTATTAATTTTTTGTTCAGAATCGCTATAGAATAATACAAATTACTTCAATATACCACAAAACCAACTACCTATTACCTTTTAATTTATTCTTGTATGATTATTTTTAATACAAATAATGATTTTATTATTTACAGTTTTAATAGTAAAAAAAAAAAACAAATAATTTTTATTTTTTGGTAATTAAATATCTACCTAACTGGGTGTTTAAAGTTATAAATTATCACATCAAGTTAATTGAGAAAAAAAAACAAAAAGCAGCTAATGATTTAACTAATTTCGGTTCGACTAAACATTTATTATAATATGTATTAATGAAATATATTAAAGTAAAATATGGCTGTGTTCTATGAATTCAGTATTATACACAGGTAACTTAAAATGTGTTATAATTAAAAAAATTATCAGTGAGAAAATAATTAGAATATTATTTTTTAATTTAATAAATTTAAAAATTTGATATATTCTATTTGAACGTAATGAGAAATTAATAAGATTAGTAATGTACTCAGAACGTGTATTCTTCTCGACACGTGTCTTTTTTAATCGATTGCTTTATCAGCTCCCGGATAGAAATTTACGTACATCGAAATAAAATTCGTAATGCGCTTATTATTTACAATATATTTACACTCTCGATAAAACTACAACGACAGAACATGTACAGTTTATCACTTAGAATAAACACTCTAAACTTATTTAATTTAAATTAGTCAAATCTTAACACCAACTCTTCAAATAATAAAATCAAGGAATTACCCAAACAACACACTAAAAATAAATTAATGTTATTCTGTAGTAACAGCTCTAAACCTTTTAAATTAAGAACAATGAAAACAAATACAAATAAAAACACAATCATATTCGCAAAGATTTTGTCTCGTTCTAGTAACATCCCCGAGGTAACGAACTAACAGTGTAAGCAACCCTGTCTGATCAACATATTGTAGCATGATATAAAATTAACATTTTAGATTCCATTATACACATTGCGTCCCATAAGTTTTGAGACTAAGGTTACTAATGTTATAAAAAAAATGAAAAAATTGTTTTAAGCAATTTCTTATTCAAAATAGTCATCATTACATTCTATATACCTTCTTGCACAATAGCTCATTTTTTCTATGGCCCGTGAAAAGTTAGCTTTAGGAATGTTCTTGAATTTTTGGGTCACTGCCTCTTGAATCGTTTTAATGGTGACAAAATGGTACCCTTTGACCTCCATCTTCAACTTTGGGAACAGAAAATAGTCCGGAGGACTCAAATCTGGTGAATATGGGGGGTGGAACTATTTTTTTGGCTAAAAATTGAGTGATAATCGCCGCGGTGTGTGCTGGAGCGTTATCGTGCAGCAAGAAAAAAGACCGATCTTTCCACAAAACGGGCCTAACGCGTGCAATTCTTTTACAGAAGCGATCTAAAACATATTTGTGGAATTCGGCATCAACAGTACTTTCCGGGGGCACAAATTCTTTGTATATAATTCCTTGAGAATCAAAAAAAACAATCAACATGGTCTTGATTTTGAATTTTCGAAACTGAATTTTTTTTGGTCGTGGCGAATTTTCCCCAACCCACTGTGCACTTTGCCATTTGGTTTCCAGGTCATAGGAAAAACACTAGCTCTCGTCACCCGTAATAATATTTTTTAAAAAATTTTGAGTGTTGGTGACCATTTGAAGCAAATCTTTCACGTGATAAACACGTCTTTTTCGTTTTTCCATGGTTAGCGCATGAGGAACAAAGCGCGCGCAAAGTTTTCTTTTCCCTAAATCTTCTGTAATAATTCGTTGAATTATTGTTTTTGGAATACCAGTTAACTCTTCCACTAACCTACAACCAGCGTTTCGATGTTCATTCAAAACAGCTGAGACGCGAGCAATGTTTTCGTCAGTTTTCGTTGTGCTTGGTCTTCCACATCCCTGCTTGTCATCAAATGACTCCCTGCCGGATAAGAACTGACTATGCCACCGAAATACAATAGCACGAGACATAAATAACTCACCATGAGCTTTTATCATCATTTGGAACGTTTCTGAAGCACTTTTTTCTAACTTAACACAACGTTTTATTGCAATTCGTTGTTCAAGATTGTTTTCCATATTGGAATTAGAATCGCGATCACAAACATACATTCACGAAAGATACGATTATACTGCCAACAATTATTAGGAATGTGTAGTTCATGAGCTAGTCGACTCAGTGAGTCGACTTTTAAAAATGAACTGGACGAGTCGAATCAGTTTTACAAGAATTGGCGACTCAGTGACTCACTGACTCAGTTAAACTTATAATTCACAACTGTACTACGGTAGATACACGACTCTCGACTCTCAACTCTCAACTCCTTTGATAACGGCTTGCGAATCTAAACGGAAAATGTAATACCAACTTAAACAATGGTTCCCCTCGTATTTGATTATGAAAATTTCCATTGTTTTTTAAAACATGATTTCTGATTTTCTGAGAAAAATTCGTAACGTTGTACGCTTATAGTCATAATTAATTTCATATGCGATAAGCTAGTCACGAATATGGACTGTGAACTTGTGAGTTGAATCAAGAGTCGAGACTAGAAGAGTTGACTAGAGTAATGGTAATCTGATTCAAACAAAGAGTTGAAGAGTTGGGAGTCGACTCTTTGATTCAACTCATTACATTGAACTGAGTTGGAAGATTCAATTCAGCAGAATGAGTTGGAATTCTCATTCCTAAAAATTATCATATACACGTGAACCTTTGTATCACAGAATAAAACAGAATGGACACTGATAACAAATTACATGGGTAGCATAGAACAATAATGAAATCAGTCAGCCATTTTATTTGAAGTACAGTAAGAAGTTAGTAACATTTTATTCCATCATGAAACGGTAGTAATATTCTTTATAAGCTACTGCGCATTTTCAAATGTTACTAATAGTAGTATTATTTTTCAAGGTATTAGTTGCAATAGGAGTTTGAGAATTGGGGGGCTTATGAGACTTATACTATGGTATGACCATAGGTCAACCCCCAACCTCCCATCATTACCAAAAATATATAAATTGTGTTTTTGTAAATGTATTACAATTGTATTTGTAAATTTACTACAACAATGATTTGCATTTTATAGTATTATATCGATATAAACGTTTTTAATATACTTAAAAAATTTATATAAATACCTGTATAATACTATTTAATCATCGATGAATCTATTTTATACATTTTTTTTTTTTTAAACACTTCCCATTCTGAAATCCTGCACATGGGCCTGTATTATGGTAGACATACTATCTAAAAAATAATCCACAAGTAAAAACTTCTTGGTACCCAGTAAGTCACCATGTTTCACACTGTTTGGTAGATCACATATTGAACAATTACCATAATTGAAATTAAATTTAATAACGAATATCAGTTATCACTGATTACAATTTGATAACAAAAGTACCTCAATTAAAATGGCCACTGATTTCGTTGCCGCCGTGTTATGTCCACCCCCCTGTTTGTACGAATAATTATGAGTGTTATCATAATAACTTCCCAGAATTTCACATTTATCTAGATACTAGAATTACTTTTAGAATGGTTGTCTCAAAACTTATGGGACGCACTGTGTAATCACTATTTACTTTTGTTTTAATTTAATAGCTATTTGATTGATTCCGATCAAACTGAACTCATTCGATATAATTGGGAGTTGTATTCAGTTTTGTATTGGACCTCTATAAAGTAAGCATGTATATTATATAAAATGACAAAGAGACTACATAGTCTTATGATAAATGCTCACATTTTCACCACCACTTTTAGAAATTTCATAGTTGAAAACTATGAATAAAATATATAATTTCTTGTATACATATATACACCGGAAAAACAGTTCGTGAGTACTATAGTGCTTTAACGTGAAACATCTATGATCTATTAGTGGTAATGATGAATCAACATTTGTTACTTTTTTATCAAATCAATCAAAAACAAATAAAAATTAAATAAATATATATATATATATATATAGATACACATCCAATTTGTGTAACACGGAAATGCAATTCTTGTTAGTTTGAAATACAATTGAACTAAAACTGTAATAAACCCGTCAACGTGGGATGTCCCTAGAGTATATGCAGCTTGTCTATCTGTGATTGATGTAATGCTGAACATCACACATATCTCTATGAAAAAAATTTGTATTTTAGTTACACACATTTTGATTATTTTACCACAAAAAATAGAATTTGTCATAGAAATTTAAATAATTCATAGCTTTCATAATTTTTCGGTATACAGAAACCTTAGCCTTAAATTATTTAAAAAATATTACATACATGACTTTAATAGAAAAATAATTATTTTGTTGATTATAATACTTTTTATTTTTGTATTAATATATAATAACTATAGTAATATTTCAAGCTAACACAAAATCAAAATAAATTACATAAATTATAGAACGAATTCAATATAAAGTACTTTTTTTTTTTTAAACATCAATCACTATTTCATTCTAATTTTGATTTACAACAATAATTATGCACTTGAGTTATTGCTAGTTTAAACAAATTTTATTTTAAAATAAATTGTATACACAACAGCTGTAATTAACTATGTAAACGGTTCATTATAATATACAGTTGAAAAAACAATAAATACTTGGTAAATAAATAACAGAGTAATTTGTTTTATATCTGCATACATTTTTTTACAATACTTTACACGTTAACGAAAATTTTTTAAACAACTTTAATCAATATTCAACTAAAATTCACTATCATATATATTTTTTAAAACTGATCAAAAAATTAAAAATTAAAAATTGTGTTTTATTGTAATATTTGACTATAAAAAATATATAT